GTGAGCGACTTTCTGAAAGCCGAGCCCGATGGAAATGACGACGTCCGCGACGAGCGAGGCGATGAGGCCCCACATGAGCCCGCTGCCCTCGCCAAAGTCTCCCAAATCCTCCGCGTCGCAGGTGCCGCCCGATTCTAGCGAGGTCACGTAGTGCTCCCGCGCCGCAGCACACATCGCAGGAGCAACCGAGGTGCACAGGTCCTCGACAGCGGGCACCAGCACCTCAACGCAGCCAAGTGCGCCGTGCGTGCTCTGGCGAGCCACGCACGGCGTCGACACGATCGTCATCTTGACCTCGTTGGACGCCGTCGGGTGTGAAAGCAAGGCGGCTCGCGCCGCCACGAAGAGTATCATCGACGACTTCGCCAAAGAGGTCGGCAGCCCGAGCGCCGTCGACCGCACCGACTATGCCACAGCCTCCGGCAGCGCCCGGGGCTTCGTCCAGCACCACTCGCAACAGCTCTCGCGCGCCGCCGTCTGTGGCGACGCGCAGAACATCAACAGCGCTGCTCGCAACATGCGTGTCGCGCACTCGTTCATGACCGGTCTCAATGCCCCACCCCCCTGCGCGCGGGCCTTCTAGGCCCGCGGGTAGTCTCCCCCCATCCCCAGGGCCTCCAGGGCTCGCACCTCAACCTCTCGCAGACCAGCGCATACTCAGTAGCGCCATAGGCCGTATTTTCTTCTCATAACAAGGCTGTGAACTGTGAAGGTGTGAACCGCGTGCTTTTTCTTCATTTTCTCAAAAACAGGCAGAAACGCACAACCCCGGGCCCAAACAGGGTCTTACACCTCTCTTGCCTTCGGCGGTGGCGACGGGGGAGGCGGCGAGGGCGGCGGCGGCGACGGCGGTGGCGGCGAGGGAGGCGGCGGCGAGGCGAGGGCGGAGGCGGGCTGGGCGGTGGGGGCGAGGGAGGCGGCGGCGAGGGCGGCGGCGGTGAAGGCGGTGAAGGCGAGGGTGGAGGCGGCGACGGCGGTGGAGGTGAGGGTGGCGGAGGTGAGGGCGGTGGAGGGCTCGGCGGCGGTGGGGAGGGCGGCGGCGGCGAGGGAGGCGGCGGCGAGGGAGGCGGCGGCATGACGATCGGCCGTCGATCCCGAGGCACGAGGGTCGTCGGTTGAGCTAGGGAGCCTGGCGATGGACGCCACCGCGACCCCTCGTGGCATCTCTCTCGCCGTCGGCGAGCTAGGGGCTCGCGGACGGCCGAATTAATATAGTGTACAGCCGTGAATGTGAACGAATATAGTTTGACGTCCGTCGGTCGGATCCTCCGACAAGGTAGAGACGCCCGCACCCACGGCTTGTCTTGTTTCCCCACCCTCCCTCCCTATGTGTGCGCTGTCGCGTTTGTGCGCTGTCGCGTTTGGGATTGGTCCTGCAACGGCGTCTCGTGCGGAGCAGTGGTGTGCTGTCGCGCGAGTGTTGCAGCGGGGGTCGAGGGACCTTTCCCCCCTTTGCAATTTACAATGCTTTGGAATCTATGTGTGGACATGACCTCGAGTGGAGCCCCAGTCCTCGACAGGCTCGAGGGCGGCGGCGGGCTGGGTGGTGGCGGTGACGGCGGCGGTGGTCTGCATGGGGGAGGGCTTGGAGGCGGCGGCGATGGCGGAGGCGGCGATGGCGGAGGCGGCTACGGCGGTTGGAGGCGACGGCGGATGC